TAGATAAATGATAGATAGATAGATAGATAGATAGATAGATAGATAGACTAAGAGAGAGAGAGAGAGAGAGAGAGAGAGAGAGAGATGCATACATTCATGCATACGTTGATTGACATAATAGATTAGATTAGGGATTAGATTAGATTAGATTAGATTGGTAGAAAGAGATGATAGCGAGATAACCAGATAGCTAGCCAGCTAAATAATGATAAATAGAGATAGATAGCTAGATAGATACCCTGTTTCCACGAAAATAAGACCTCCCCAGATAATAAGCCCAATCGGGCTTTTTAGCGCATGTGCTAAATAAGGCCCCCCCGAAAATAAGCCCTCCCTGAAAATATTTAAATGCATGTGCAGCCAGTCCCCGCCATTTCCTTTGGTTAGTGTTAGGGAGACAGAGCTGGAAATCAGGTAAGACGGCAAGAGGAGCCCTGTCTTGTTCCACGTGCCCCAAAATGATAAGACCTCCCCGAAAATAAGGCCTAACACTTATTTTGGGGTTCAAAAAATATAAGACAGGGTCTTATTTTCGGGGAAACACGGTACATACATACATACATATACATACATATGATACCTAGATACATGATAACCAGATAGCTAGCTATGATAGATTGACATAGAATAGATAGATTACATTAGGGATTAGATTAGATTAGATTAGATTAGATTAGATTAGATTAGATTAGAAGAGAGAGAGATGATAATTAGATAGATGATAACCAGATAGCTAGCCAGTTAAATACTGATAAATAGAGCTAGATAGATAGGTGTAGATAGAAAGAGATGAGAGAAATGAGAGAGAGGTATTACTGGAATAAAAAATAGTTCCATTTGTGCTCCTGATGATTTCTGGACATGCCTCGTGCTGATCTTCTTATTCCAAAATAATAATAATAATAATCTTCAGTTCTGCTTCTTGTCTATGGAGATTCTCCATCCAAGTCACGGTTGTTCCAGATGTTTTTCCAAAAGACAGCTGGACTTTCTTGATTCTTTTCCTTGAAGACGTTTCGCTTCTCATTCAAGAAGCCTCTCCAGTTCTGACTGAATGGTGGAGGATGGAAGGATTTATAATGCAAATGGGGTGTGGACTATTGCATTGTTCAGGTCCCAGATAAACCCCCACAAGTGGCCTCAACGATTCTCCCAATAACCAGATGGCTGCAAGGAATATAAATCCTTGCATCCTCCACCGTTCAGTCAGAACTGAAGAAGCTTCTTGGATGAGAAGCGAAACGTCTTCAAGGAAAAACAAAGAAAATCCAAAGGCGCCTTTGGGACAGTTCTGCATCTCCTTACCTCTTCCAAAGTAACCCACGTGCTCAGTGTTGTGTTAGCAAGACCCTGATTTTGACAAGGGTGGGGTGGCAAGACTGAGGCCCTGGGTCTCCATCCCTTATTCATTGAAGAGGATGACCAGAAGGTGACCAGTACTTTGTTGGGAAGGGAAGCAAGTTCCCAATCTGACACACTGTTCTGTCCCCTCCCACGAGTGGCCTTGCAGAGGCTCAAATAGCCCGGCAGTAACAAACGCAGGCTAACCTGGCCCTTTAATAAATAGTTCTCTTCCAAAGCGTATATCAGTCCAATAGTTACCGGGCAATGTTCCAAAGGTCTTGGCAGACGGCCAGCAGGCTAATGCAGGAATGCAGACTCTTGTCAAAAACTCCAAACTAACAGTTGTAAATCCACTGCATCCAAAACGCCAACAAATTGTTCACCACGCCTGTCCAGCCGAGTCACACCCCTTTTATACTTTGTAGGGTGTGGCCCTACGTCTCCTGACCACACCTCTTAGGACGTGGCAATAGCTGTTCTCTAGGACGTCTCCTACGTCTCTCTCTTGCATCCAATAGGGGCTCCCCTTCGTCGTTACCGGCCTCTGTTTCCTCCTCAATTTGGCTGGGGGTCCATAGGCACGTCGGCAACTGTCAGTTCTTGCTGACTCACCAGTGAAGACGGCCCCTCCGGCACATAGCTCGTGCCAGCTTCCTCCTCCTCCATATCATCCTCCGAATCCGCATGCGAAGATAAATCAGCCTCCGGGGCCGGGGTCACAACACACACTGTCCCATCGGTTGTCCCTATAATTGTCTATGGAGCTTCTCCGTCATCCAGGTCACGATGGTCCCAAAGATGCTTTTCCAAGAGGCAAGTGGACTTCCTTGTTTTTCTTTTGAAGACGTTTCGTTTCTCATCCCAGAAGCTTCTTCAGCTCTGACTGGCTGGTGGGGAAGGGAAGGATTGATACTCCTTGCAGACAGCTGGTCATTTGCATCATTTTTAGAGGGTCATTGAGGCCACTTGGAGGTTCCTCTGTCTTCGGAGTCACCTGATTGGTGCAAATGGAGCCTTCTTGGAACTGCTGAAAGGACTTGTGTTGTGGAGCTGTGCTTTCTGCGGGATGTTTTCTGACCTGTATCCCTTCACAGTTGCAGGCTGTTGGGGGATGAGTCTGTGTCCCTTACAGATGGCTGCATATCAATCCTTCCCTTCCCCGCCATCCAGTCAGAGCTGAAGAAGCTTCTTGGTTGAGAAGGGAAACCTTTTCAAAGAAAAACAAGGAAGTTTTCAAGTTGCCTCTTGAAAAAGCAGTTTTGCGTTGTCCCCGTAACGCTCTCCGGGAATTGCTTTCTCTCTCCCCAGGTCCATCATGCGTGGCTGTGACAACATGTGCAGCTACTGCATCGTCCCCTTCACTCGTGGGCGCGAACGGAGCCGGCCCTTGGCCTCCATTCTCCAGGAAGTGCAGATGCTCTCGGACCAGGTAGGAGGCCTTTTGACTTGGAACTGTTGACCAGTCCTGGGGAGTCACTAAAAACTCTGCTCAAGGTGGAGAGAGGTTCTTCCCAGCCCCTTCTGGAAATCCAGAATAGAATAACAGAAGACCTGGAAAGGACCTAAGAGGTCTTCTAGTCCAACCCCCTGCTCAAGCAGGAGACCGTATGCCAAGGGTGTCCAACGTTGGAACTTTAAGACTGATGGACTTCCCAGAATTCCCCAGCCGGCATGGTTTAAGACCGGTGGACTTCAACTCTGAGAATTCCCTAGCTGACATGCTAGACAGATAGATAGCCATAGCCCTTAGACTTCTATACCTCTTCACAGTGCTTTCACAGCCTTCTCTAAGCGGTTTACAGAGTCAGCCTCTGGCCCCCAACAATCTGGGTCCTCATTTTACCCACCTCGGAAGGACAGAAGGCTGAGTCGCCCTTGAGCCAGTCAGAATCAAATGCCTGGCTGTGCGCAGAGTCAGCCTGCAGTAAGGGTAGTCTTCGTCTTACGACCACAATTGAGCCCAACGTTTCTGTTGTTGTGAAACATTTGTTGAGTGGGTTTTGCCCCGTTTTATGACCTTTCTTGCCACAGTTGTTAAATGATAAGTTAGTAACCCAGTGGTTAAAATGAATCTGACTTCCTCATTGACTTGAGTTGTCAGAAGGTTGCAGAAGGAGAATCACATCACCTTGGGTCACAGCAACGGTCATAAATATGAAGCAATTGACAAGCATCTCCCCTCCCCTCCTCTCCTCTCCTCTCCTCTCCTCTCCTCTCCTCTCCTATCCTTCTTCTCTCTTCCTCTCTCCTCTCCTCTCCTTCTTCTCTCCTCCTCTCTCCTCCTCTCCTTCTTCTCTCTTCCTCTCTCTTCTCTCCTCCTTCTCTCCTCCCCTCCCCTCTCCTCTCCTCTCCTCTCCTTCTTCTCTCCTCCTCTCTCCTCTCCTTCTTCTCTCTTCCTCTCTCTTCTCTCCTTCTTCTCTCCTCCCCTCTCCTCCCCTCTCCTCTCCTTCTTCTCTCTCCTCTCTCCTCTCCTCTCCTTGAAGGGTGTGAAGGAAGTGACCCTTTTGGGCCAGAACGTCAACAGTTATCGGGACACCTCCGAGGTCCAGTTCCTCTCCCTGGCATCACCTGAGCTCAGACAAGGATTCCGGACGGTCTACAAAGCCAAAAAGGGTGGGTTGCGTTTTGCCGAACTTCTGGACCGAGTGGCTGCCGTGGACCCAGAGATGAGGATCCGCTTCACTTCTCCTCACCCCAAAGATTTCCCAGATGAGGTGGGTCCGACCCCGCTGAGCTCTTCCTCACCCACAGCCAGCAGTAGTGTGCCAATAACAACCTGTTTGCGTTTTGCAGGTATTTGAGGTCATGCGGGAAAGACACAATATCTGCAAGCAGGTGCACCTTCCCGCCCAAAGTGGCAGCTCCCGTGTCCTGGAGGCCATGAAGAGAGGGTGAGATGTGTGCTTGTGCTGTGTATGTGAGTGTGTGTAGGGGCTGTTATGCACCTTGAAAATGTCTGGCCATGTGGCCTCCCCTTTCAGCAGCCCATTCTGCTAAAATGTTGGGGATGTTCGTGTTAGAAATTCTGTTTATAGAAAGCACCACACAGAACAAACGAAGAGCACAGTCACCATGTGCTTTACTGCTCAGTTATATAATGATAACAGGAAACAGGAAACACTATTTAGAACAAAAGAGTATAAACTAGAGTATATACCATAGAGCCAGTCTTGTGAATACTGCCATCTATTGGCTGAATACTATTGTTGTTGCATAGAAATTCATTCCAACAGTGAATTCTACCAGTTCTCTTAAATTCTGATTTGCAACAGAAAGCAGAACACGCATGCCATTTCAGCACACGTACCTGCATGTTTGAAGAAGATTTGAGGCTGTCTAATTGTGCTATCTGGATAGAATGTGGTGAGGAAATGGATCTCCCAGGAGGGAGAAGTTACTGTCCAGAGGAGTAAGAGGCAACTCAGCCCCCAGATGTTATATGTGAGAGAAAGAGAGTAAAGACAGCCTCTCCCTCATAGATCCCAGAGTCTATTGTAGAGCAGGGGTCTCCAAATTTGACAACTTTTAAGGCTTGTAGACTTCAACTCCCAGAATTCCTCAGCATGGCGAGTGGAAGTCTACAAGTCTTAAAGTTGCCAAGTTTGGAGAACTTTGTTGTAGATGCAGAGAGTCTTCAGTCTGGCAAGAGTCTGTCTATAGGTGTGGAACAATAAAGGCCTCAGCTTGAAAGAATCTCCATCCGCCATTCTTGGTTTGGGACCTGAAACATGCTGGCTGAGGGATGCTGGTAGTTGAAGTCCAACGTGATAGGCTGGAATATGGTGAGGAAGTGGCTCCTCAGGGGGGCATCCCAGAAGAGTAAGAGGCAACTCAGACCTGATATTATGTGAGATAGAATGAGAGCGAAGATAGCTTCTCCCTAATAGTTCCCAGAAAATATTGTGGATTCAGATAGCAGAGTCCTCAATTCTGGCACGATTCTGTCTATAGGTGTGGAACCATAAAGAATTCAGCTTGGAAGAATATGTCATTCTTCGTTTGGGGCTTCACACATGGTGGCTGTGGGATTCTGGTAGCTGAAGTCGAAATATGATGTGATAGAATGTGTTGAGGAAATGGGTCCTCAGGAGGGAGGGGGGCATCCCAGAGGAGTAAGAGGCAACTCGAACCTGATACTATGTGTGAGAGAAAGAGGGGGAAGACAGCCCCTCCTCAATAGTTCTCGCAGAATATTATAAATGCAGAGTCGAGTCCTCGAATCTGGCAAGATTCTGTCTCTAGGTGTGGAACAATATAGAACTCAGCTTGGAAGAATCAACGTAAGTCAGTGGCCCCCAACCTTTTGAGCACCAGGGACCGGATCCGTGTGGAGAGAGGTTTTTCTGTGGACCGGAGGGGGTGACGTTTTGGGTGCTGCCTGCATCCCACAAATAGGGCTTCACTTGTTGGCGCAGACCGGTTTCTAGCATGCTGCAGATCGGTGCTGATCCATATGTCGTTCTTAGTTAGGGGCGGCTGAAGGATTCTGGGAGTTGAAGTCCACACAGGATGTGATGGAAAGTGGTGAGAAAGTGGATCCCCGGGAGATAATTCAAACCTGATATTATGTGTGAAAGAGAGAGGCTGAAGACAGCCTCTTCCTAATAACTCCCAGAGTATATTGTGGATTCAGATAGTTGAGTCCTCAAATCTGGCAAGATTCTGTCTATAGGTGTGAAATAATACTCAACCTGGAAGAATCGCCACGTGTCATTCTTGGTTTTGGGCCTGAGACAAGGCTGTTAGGGTGCGTGTAAAAAGTATTCGTTGCTTGTGCAACGAGCAGAGCAGAAACACACAGGGAAGGAGATAAACGTGCAGCTCGTGTGAGAAAAATACTTTATATACAAGATAATAAGCAGTCTCGGTGTAGGTAAAACAGTCCAAGGTCATAAACAATAATATCCGTCCAGTAAGTATCGTCCCTTACCAAAGCAAACAGACTTTAGTAACTCTCGGTATATAGTATCATACAACAATTCAGTCTAACACCAATCAGCAGAAAGACGCAGGAAGCAACAGGAACAGGATCAATCGGGAACAAGGAACGCTTCTCTGCGCTGCTTATTTATGCACTGTAGCCTAATTACAGGGTTTAGCAAACCCTGATTACTTGGCTCAATTGTTTCTTAAAGAAACAGATATATTGCCTGACCAACAAGTTAGGAGTAAGCTACAAGCTGAACCTAACAAAGGCGACTGAGGAATTCTGGGAGTTGAAGTCCACATGTGGTGGCTGAGGGATTCTGGAGTCAACACGTGATGTGATGGAATATAGTTAGGAGGTGGCATCGTAAGCGGGAGGGGTGCATTGCAAAGGAGTAAGAGATAACAGATAGTGTGTGTGTGTGAGAGAAAGAGGATGAAGGCAGCCTCTCCTCAGTAGTTCCCAGAGTTTATATGCAGAGTCTTCAGTCTGGCAAGATTCTGTCTACAGGTATAGAACTCGGCTTCAAAGAATCCATGTTGTCATTCTTGGTTTGGGGCCTGATATCCACATTCTCATCCTTCCAGATACACGCGGGAATCATACCTGGAGCTTGTATATCATCTCCGTGATTATTTACCAGGTGGGTATCTCATTTATGCTTTCCGATCTGGTCCCCAGACTGAAAATTACATATTTATGGACTTTAAAGATAACATACAGGCGATGGGTGTGTGGGCGAACAAGTCATTTGGCAGCCATACGACTTCATTGCCTTATTTGCATGATTATATGTCACCCTTCTGCTAGCATGTTAATGTCATGGGGTGGCCTCTAATCCCTGGCCTTTGTTAAAATTACGAGCCGTGAAGATGGGGGTTATTCCGTGTCGGAGATGGTTAGTGACCTAGGAAGAAAATCCCACCTCTTTTTTTTTTTTTTTTTTTGTAAAAAGTTTTTCTTTATTTTTTACACATACACACACACACAAATATACAATGTATTTTTGCTGATCAGAGTATTTGGCCAGTTAACAGATTTAAACAATTTTTAATCTTTACAACTAAAATTACCGTTTCTATAAATCCTTTTTGCCATAGTGTTTATTTTCATCTATTTTTTACCAGTTTTACCCTTCATTTTTATCTCTATTTTTTTACCAAATTCCAATTTTCCCTTCTATTCTATATTAAACCCCTTCTTACTGTCATCTATTTTTATACCCATCATCAGAATAATTAGTTTTATGATGATACAATTGTTCAATTCTTATAAGAATGGTGAGCCCATTTGTTTTATAACTTACCGGTACATTTTCTTAAGTAATATAGTCCAACATTTTAATATAATCAAAAATCCCACCTCTATCTATAATAGTCTGGCTTTTTTTAAATTTATTTATTTATTTAATTTTTTATACCGCCCTTCTCCCGAAGGACTCAGTGTGGTGCACAGCCGAAAATAAAAACGAACACTTATAAAATTTAAAACAGTTTAAAAGGAATTAAATAATTTGGCCCATTTCAATTAAGACAAAGACAACCCATATACCTTAAAATTGATCTTGGCATTCAGGCCAGCCCAGCTTGTTGAAACAACAGCGTCTTGAGGGCATGACAAAAGGTGCGTAGGTCAGGGATCATCCGTATCTCTGGGGGCAGCTCATTCCAGAGGGCAGGTGCCCCCACAGAGAAGGCTCTCCCCCTGGGGGTCGCCAGTCGACATTGTTTGACCGACGGCACCCCGAGGAGTCCCTCTCTGTGGGAGAGGGCCAGTGGGAGGCTATCGGTAGCAGAAGGCGGTCTCGTAAGTACCCCGGTCCTAAGCCATGGAGCGCTTTAAAGGTGGTAACCAACACCTTGAATCGCACCCGGAAGACCACCGGGAGCCAGTGCAGCTCACGCAGGAGAGGTGTCACATGGGAGCGCCCCATCGCTCCCATAAATAATTAAAACCTTTTTATTTCACCAGGCTGGTCTGGCCTAACCTTTCCCATTCTTTTTTAATGTAAATTTTAATTCGTTCTTAACCTGGGGTTTTAAATTTGTCTTGGGCTAAATTGATTTAATTCGATTTTACTTTTGTTCTTAATTTTTGTATTTTACGTGTTTTATTCTGTGCCTGTTCACCGCCCTGAGTCCTTCGGGAGTAGGGCGGTATACAAATTAAATAAAACATAAAACATAATCCCCCGCGCGGCCGCATTCTGTACCAGTTGGAGCCTCCGGGTGCTCTTCAAGGGGAGCCCCATGTAGAGAGCATTACAGTAGTCCAGGCGGGAAATAAGTTTTTAAACTTATTTCTTACTTTGTAGTCCTTGACTTAACAATAGTCCATGGTTCTCCTGCTTGAGCAGAGGGCTGGTCTAGAAGACCTCCAAGGTCCCTTCCAGCTCATTCCTTCATTCTATTCTTTTAGTAACTGTTCAAGTTACAACAGTACTGAGAAAAAGTGACTTAGTGACCGTTTTTCTCACACTTATGACCGTTGCAAGATCCCCATGGTCACGGGATCAGAATTCAGCACCCTTGGCAATGGATTCATATTTATGACGGTCGCAGTGCCCCAGGGTCACATGATCCCCATTGGACAAGCAAAGTCAATGGGGAAGCCAGATTCACTTAACAACCATAACTTAACAAGTGCAGTGGTTCACTTAACAACGGTGGCAAGAAAGGCCTTAAAACGGGTCAAAAGTCAAAACACTTTAAAAAAAAAAAAAAAGTCAAATCAGCCCAATCTCTTCTTGAAAGCTTCCAGTGATGAAACTCCCACGGGAGAGAATGCGGTGGAGTGAACTTGGAAATGGGGGTCATAAGTACCATCCGGGGGGGGGGGGGAATTCGTCGTAAATTTAAACGGTCGTTAAACAAGGACTCTCTGAAAATGGAATTCCTGTTTGCAGATGCAACGCTCACCAGTGACTTCATTGCCGGATTCTGTGGGGAGACGGAGGCCGATCATTTGCAGACGCTGTCGCTCCTCCGTGAGGTCGGCTACGATGTCGCCTACATCTTTGCCTACAGCCAGCGGCAGGTGAGGCCTGGATACCCCGGGTGGCCCACCGTAGGGGGCTGATTTGCATCTGTGGCAGATGTGCCCATTAACAGATGAACAGAGTTGGAAGGGACCTTGGAGGTCATCTAGTCCAACCCCCTGCCCAAGCAGGAGACCCTGCCTACACCATTTCTGACAGATGGCAGTCCAGTCTCTTCTTGAAAGCTTCCAGGGATGAAGCTCCCACAACTTCCGAAGGCAACTTCTGTTCCATCGGTTGATTGTTCTCACTGTCAGAAAATTCCTCCGTATTTCCAGGTTGAATCTCTCCTTGTTCAGTTTTCTTCCATTATTTCTTGTCTGGCCTTATCTGGTGCTTTGGAGAATAGCTTGACCCCCTTCCTCCTCTCTGTGGCAGCCCCTCAAATATTGGAAGATGCTCTCCTGTCTCCCCTGGTCCTTCTCTTCACTAGACTAGCCAGGCCCAGTTCCTGCAACCGTTCATCGTGTGTTTTAGCCTCCAGCCCCCTCATCATCCTGCTTGCTCTACTCTGCACTCTTTCTAGAGCCTCAACAACTTTTTAATAGTGTGGGGACCAAAACTGGATGCAGTACTCTAGGTGTGGTCTTACTAAGGCTTTATAGAGTGGTAGTAGTACCTCCCTTGATCTTGATTGTATCCCTTTGTTAATGCAACTGAGGATTGCATTGGCTTTTTTTGGCAGCCGCCACACACTCTTGGCTCCTATTTAGCTGGTTGTCCACTAAGACTCCAAGATCCCTCTCACAGTTACCATGATTAAGCCTGGTTTCACCCACTCTATATGTGTACTTTTGGTTTTTCTGGCCTAAGTATAGGACTTTTCTTTCCTCTACACTGAATTTCATTTTGTTAGACGTTGCCCATGTTGCAGCTGCGGGCTGAATTGTTATTTCTTTACTGACTTCTATCCTGCCTTTATGATTTTTGCAAATACTTCAAGGGGGTGACTATATCCTGAACCTCTTCCTCCTCTTTTCCCCCACAACAACAACCCTGTGAGGTGGGTTGGGCTGAGAGAGAGGGACTGGCCCAAAGTCACCCAGCTGGCTTTCATGTGTAAGGTGGGACTAGAACTCACCGTCTCCTGGTGATTGGCCCAAAGTCACCCAGTTGGCTTTCATGCCTAAGGCAGATCTTCGGACGGGTTGCAGTGTTTCTGGGGTCACGTGATCCCCTTTTGCAACCTTCCAACGAGCAAAGTCAACGGAGAAGCCAGATTAATTGTGATAGTAACTTAACATCTACAGTGTTTCACTTAAGAACCATGGCAAAGGTCGTAAAACGAGACAACATCCACAAGAAATGTCTCACTTATCAATGGAAATTTTGGGCTCAATTTGGGTCCTAAGTGGAAAACTACCTGTAATTCGAGAGCCACGTGGCATTATTTTCTTAGTCCGGTCTATCTTACAGGGCTGACCAGCGCAGGGGCATCTCCCAGGGGCCTTCCTGACCTGGTCATTATTTCTTTGGTCAGCTGCTCGGTTCCGCCCCTGGATTAAGTCCGGTGTCCTGAACCTGCTTCCTGCCTTCACTAGTCCTGACCTCCAGCTCTCTGTCGCTCTGGTCCCCAGAAAACCCGGGCATTTCACCGGCTGCCGGACGACGTCCCACCCGAAGTGAAGCACCGTCGGCTGAAGGAACTGAACGTAGTCTTCCGGGAAGAGGCTTCCCGCCTCCACGCGGCGGCCGTGGGCCAGACACAAGTGGTGCTGGTGGAAGGGGTGAGTGTGCCACGGGGGGAGCCGGGTCTGGCTGATCAGGGGGCGACGCTTCCTGGTATCCCCAGGGTTTCAGGGCAGGTGAGATGGGAATGCCTGGGATTCCACCTGGAGGCCATTGCGCCCCCTCCAGAGTCACTTGGGAGAGGGAAGTGAATGGCATGGAAATTGGAGAGGGAGGGAGGGAGGGGAGGGAGATGATGGATAGGAAGGAAGGGAGGGAGGGAGCGGAAGAAGAGAGAGAGATGATAGAGATGATGGGAAGGAAGGAGAAAGAAAGAAAAAGAAAGAAAGAAAGGAAAGAAAAGAAAGAAAGAAAGAAAGAAAGAGAGAGAAAGAAAGAAAGAAAGAAAGAAAGAAAGAAAGAAAGAAAGAAAGAAAGGGCTAGCAATAGAATATAATAAAGCAGAATATGGATAGGGATGATAAGAATAAGGATAGGGTTGGAAGGGGACTTGAAGGTCTAGTCCAACCTGCAGCCCAAGGCAGGAAATTTTATACCACCCCAACAAATGCTTGTCCAACATTTTCTTGAGATATAGATAGGTAGGTAGATATAGAAATAGATAGAGAGATAGATAGATAGAGAGAGAGAGAGAGAGAGAGAGAGAGAGATAGATATAGAAATAGAGATGGAAGATAGATAGAAGATAGATAGAGATGGATTGATAGATAGATATAGAAATAGAGATAGAGATAGATGATAGATAGATGATAGATGATAGAGATGGATGGATAGAAAGATAGAGAGATAGATGATAGATAGATAGATAGATAGATAGATAGATAGATAGATAGATAGATAGATAGAGATGGATGGATGGATGGATGGATTAGATAAATAGATAGATAGATAGATAGATAGATATAGAAATAGAGATAGATGATAGATAGATAGATAGATAGATAGATAGATAGATAGATAGATAGATAGATAGATAGATAGATATAGAGATAGATGATAGATAGATAGATGATAGAGATGGATTGATAGATAGATATAGAAATAGAGATAGATGATAGATAGATAGATAGATAGATAGATAGATAGATAGATAGATAGATAGATGATAGATAGATAAACACAGATAGATGATAGATTGATAGATAGATAGATAGATAGTTAAACAGACACAGATAGATGATAGATTGATAGATAGATAAATAGATAGATAGATAGATAGATATAGAAATAGAGATAGATGATAGATAGATAGATAGATAGATAGATAGATAGATAGATAGATAGATAGATAGATAGATAGATATAGAAATAGAGATAGAGATAGATGATAGATGATAGATGATAGATAGAGATGGATGGATAGAAAGATATAGAGATAGATGATAGATAGATAGATAGATAGATAGATAGATAGATAGATAGATAGATGATAGATAGAGATGGATGGATGGATGGATGGATAGATAGATAGAGATGGATGGATAGATAGATATAGAAATAGATGATAGATAGATAGATAGATAGATAGATAGATAGATAATAGATAGATAGATAGATAGATAGATGATAGATAGAGATGGATGGATGGATGGATGGATGGATGGATAGATAGATATAGAAATAGAGATAGATGATAGATAGATAGATAGATAGATAGATAGATAGATAGATAGATGATAGATAGATAAACAGACAGACACAGATACATGATTGATAGATAGACCATGTTGTGAGTCATTTTCCCACATCGAAGTAGCTCCCCCGGGAACAGTGGGATGCGATGGGCGCCCCCTAGAGCAGCTGGCATGCCATGGCTGCCCAGTCTCTTGACGTCCATTCCCCACCCCCCATCTCTTGGACCTCTAGCCCAGCAAGCGCTCCCCCCTGGATCTGTGGGGCAGGAATGATGGTGGAATCAAGGTCATCTTTCCGGACGTGGAGATGAGCGACGGGACCGAGGGGCCGTCGGCTGTCCGAGCCCAACCCGGAGATTACGTCCTAGTGGAGGTGAGTCGCATATGGCTACTACTCCGGCACTGCCAACACGAGGAAATCCCTCTCAGATCCCAGGAATAGAATTTTATCTGCCTTCTGGATTGTTCTTGATGGTCAGAGGAAGGTTGCAATTCCCCCAAAATGTCCAGGATGCTGACCGCATGATCCCTGATTATGAAACATCCTCTTTATTCCCCCCCAAAAACAAAACGTCTTACAGATAGTCCTCGACTTACGACCATTTGCTCAGTGACCATCCAAAGTTACAACAGCACCGAAAAAAAGCAACTTAGGATCGTTTTTCACACTCTACGACCATTGCGGCGCCCCCCCCCCCCCATTGTCACGTGATCAAAATCTGGACGCTGAGCAACTGACTCGTATTTATGACGGTTGCGCATCCCCATGATCGCGTGGTCAAAATTCGTACACTTGGCAACTGACTCACATTTATGACGGTTTCAGTGTCGGGGACTCCCTGTTGGGAAGAGAAAGGCTCGATTCAGCTAGCAGAGCAAGCCTGCAGGCCAGAAATTGCACCCTTGGGGTACCCTTCAATTCATGGCTTGCAGAGCCCTGAAGTAAGGAAGGAGGGGAGGCCTGGGCAGGACGGAGCTCTGGGGATGGCCAGGTGGAAGTTGGGCATTGCAAACATCCAAGGGCAAAGGGGAGGCGGCTGGCCTCTGCTGTCAGGAGGGGTATTTCCACTTCGTTGGGAGTTGCTTTTCTCATAGACCCTCCTTTCTGCAAAACAGATCAGGGTTTGCTCGGGGTGGCTGTCTCTCCACGGAGAAGGGGAGACGGAACAGTTTTATTTATTGATTTAAGATTTTTAACCCTGCCTTTACTATGCAAGTAATTCAAGGCGGCGAACATATCTAATAATCCTTCCTCCTCCGGTTTTCTGTACAACAGCCCTGTGAGGTGGGTCGGGCTTTGAGAGAATGGGACTGGCTCAAAGTCACCCAGCCAACTTACACACCTGAGGCAGGAGTAGAATTCACCATCTCCTAGGGATTGGCCCAAAGCCACCCTGCAATGTTTCATGCCTAAGGCAGGACTAGAACTCACTGACTCCTGGTGATTGGTCCAAATTCACCCAACCAGCTTTTGTGCCTATGGTGGGACTAGAACTCCCCATCTCCTGGCCATTGGCTCAACATCAATGGTCAGGAGATGAGCCGAGGTGGCGCAGTGGTTAGAGTGCAGTACTGTAGCTACTTCAGCTGACTGCTAGTTCAGCAGATCAGCGGATCAAATCTCACCGGCTCAAGGTTGACTCAGCCTTCCATCCTTCCGAGGTGGATAAAATGAGAACCCAGATAGTTGGGGGGCAATATGCTATTTAGGATACTGTCTTTGGTGTAAGCCGCCCAGAGTCCTCGGAGAGTGGACGGCATAGAAATATGACTAATAAATAAATAAATAAAATAAACATCACTCAGCTGGCTTTCACGCCTGATGGAGGACTAGAACTCCCTGTCTCCTGGTGAATGACTACTTCCACCTTCTTTCCTCCCCGTCCCAGATCTCCTCGTCCTCCCCCCTGACCCTGAAGGGCACTCCCCTCTGCCGAACCACACTCAGAGGCAGCTCATCCACAGCCTCGGCAGAGGCCGCCCGCAGAGCAGCCCCGGGTGCAAGAGGAGGATTTTCAGCACCCTCAAGACAACGAGGAGCAGCCAAGGACAGATGACCAGCGAGCACCTTGGACGCCAGCGGCTGCACCCGGCCAGGCACCCCTTGGTGAGAGGCTGTTCGCCCAACCGAGCTGTCCGGCGTCATTATCCGAAGCAGAGGCAGTGAAAGAAAAGCTATGTGGCTGGACAAACAGCCTTGGAAACAAGGAGTCCATATTTTCGTCCATCAGAGGATGCATTCAGACGTGTTGGGTGTTCCTGCCCGTTTCTTCCAGGGTTGGTCCACAAATGGACGCTTCCCCCTTCGTCTCAGACATACGTCCGTTCGCTTCAGGGCCAACAGACTCTCTCTTGCAAGTTCTGGGAGGACTCAAGTTGTGTATCGTGTGAAGGATCTTTTGGGGCAGGGGGCTCTCCTCTCCCAAGCAGGTGCCCTCCAGCTGGGCTGGGCAGCCCGGCTTTTGGCTCTTTAAGGATGATGGGAGTTGTGGTTGTGGAAGCTGCTGGAATTCATCAACGGGGGTTGGGATGGGGAAGCAGTGGACTAAATAAATGTTTGCAAAAATAACGTTTCAAGGATTTCCTTATTTGATTTTGCTGCCATTTAAGGCAACATCTGTCCTCCGGTGCTGGGAGAATCAATGTTGTGACCCAGGCCCAAGTAGTTAGTATTAAATGCAAACAGTTCGAAAACAGACTTTATTAGAACAACTGAGAATTAACTCATTCTCAGCGCAGTCCAAACTAAATTAAAGCAAATTCTTCAAAACACCGTTCCTCAGTTTATCACCGACCTTGGGATAATTAGGCAAACTGCCAAAGGCTTCTCTTGGCAAAAGTTCAGAAGCAGAGGATGCGGAGCAAGATAAGAACCAAGTTTATCAACGTCGTTTTCTGACAACCCAAGAACCTGTTGCTGGTTTTTTAAGCCTTATGGAAGCGGCCAATCATCTCTTGGCCCTACTCCCGAGTCGTCCTCTTTGCTTTATCTGCTCTTGCCTTCTGGCAGCTCTTCTCATGCGTGCACTAGGAACAGGCTCCTCCTGTTCCTCTGCCTCTCTGCTGTCAGCCTCTGGAGGCTCCGGAGTCCGCACATCACTCCCCGATGACCCTGGCCCCATCTCTGCCTCTTGATGCGTGCCATAGGTTCACCATCATGGCCCTATACCATTTCAGGCAAGTGGCTGTCCAGTCTCTCTAAAAAACTTCCAGTGTTGGAGCATTCACAGTGTCTGGTGGCAAGCAGTTCCACTGGTTCATTGTTCTCACTGTTAGGAAATGTCTCCTTCATTCCAGGTTGCTTCTCTCTGTCAGCACGTCAAGATGCATTTATCCTAGTGCTGACATGAGAAGGAGAACGCAAGTGTCTGCAACGGGACGGTTGCCTTTCACCTACTTATTTTAGCTGGAGATAATGTCCCCTAGGAGATGGATGGGAGGGGGGAAATTCTTTGAGTTGGAGCAGTAGATTAGGGGTGAATGATTGGGAAGATGGCCAATGAATGCAGAGGAGTGGGGGAAGGAAGAGGAGGGATTTTGGGTCAGCACGTCAGTGCTGGCTGCATGGAGTCAGTGTAAAAGTTGCCGTGCTAAATAAAATGGAAGTTTGTTTCAAAAAAGACTTTGTTTGAGACGCAATTTATTTGAAGATGGCCTGAAAACCTGACACTCTCCTTGATTGGTTTCCATCCATTGCTCCTTCTCCTGCCTTCAAGCACTTTGGAGAACGGGTGGACCCCTCTTCTTTGTGGCAGCCCCTCAAATATTGGAAGGCTGCTATCATGTCCCGTCCGTCCCCCCCCACCAAAACTGGCCAAACCCAAATCCTGCAACTGTTCTTCGTATGCTTTAATCTCCAGACCTTCCATCATTCTGGTTGCTCTTCTTTACCGTTTTTCCAAAGTCTCAACATCTTTTTTTTTAACATGGTGACCAAAACTGGACACAGGATTCCAGGTGTGACCTTACTAGGGTGTTATAAAGCGGTACTGATACTTCACATGATTTTGGCTCTATCCCTCTGTACAACCAAGGATTGTATTAGCTTTTTTGCCTGACTCATGTTTAAGTATTTATTATTAATTTATTATTTATTAATTTTATTTCTATACCGCCCTTCTCCCGGAGGACTCAGGGCGGTGTACAGCCTGATTAAAAGCAGAAAGACAGACAAAAATTTAAAATTATTAAATGATAGGCTCAATTTAAAACCCCAAATTTAAAACCCCATTTTTAAAACCCAGTTAAAATCTTTACCTTGATAGCCCAGCCTATCAAGGTAAACAGCTGAGCGATCGTCCACTCGGACTCCAAGGTCCCTTTCGCAGTTAACTGTTTTTGAGCCAGGTTTCGCCTAATTTGTCCTTGTACCTTAGTTTTTCCTGCCTAAGTGTAAAACCTTTTTTTTTTTCTCCTCCACATTAAATTTCATTTTATTGGACAGGCCCATTACTCACATCTGTCTGATTAAGCAGGGTGTATCTGAATACCCAATGCTGGAAGTAGAAATTTAGGCTCCTTAAAAGCATCTAGAAGCAGGTTGGCAGACTTAACAATTCGCTTAATGTGGCAAAAAGGTTATAAAATCCGTCTTGGTTCATTTAACAGCCAGCTTGCCTAGCAACGGAAATCCCGGCTGCAATTGGCATGGTAAGTCAAGGACTACCGTGCATTGTAGGGCTCAAAACGCACGTGGTGTGAGCATCACCCTTAAGCTTTTTCATTAAATGCGCCACAGATGCCAGGTAACCCATTGAAACCCTGCACCAAAATTTCTGTTCTTGTTCAAAACAGGCAGGTCATAAATTGGATTTTGCAAACTGATTTGACCCCTGCCCCCATTTAAACAATTGATTCATTTTTTTTAATTCATGCATTTATTTTGCCTTAGGTGCGTTTCGACTTATCGCCTCCCAGGCGAGTTTACAAAGAGAGTTAACAGCTGGGACAGGAATGCATTCCAGATGTTTGCAGTGTGAGGCTTCCACATATAGGCCAGGCGCACCCAGGATCCTTAGGAATGGCGTCCCTTGTACGATGCTCAGGAGTTCAGCATCTGTGGCAGAGAAAACGGTGTGTGTGTGTGAAAAAGCCCCTCAGGAGCACCACATAGCACATGAGTTACAGGAAGAAGTGTGATTTCCAAGGAAGGTGGGAGCCTAGAATCAACGGATTGGCTCTGAAGATAACCACCACTCTCAATGCTTGTGTATTTTTACCTCGCCGGTGGCTTGCTGGAACATCTCAAGCAGTCTTCGGGTTGTCCTTTCCATCTGCAGAGAAGGAAGACAATTGTTCATGCCTTGGACATGTCTTGGTTGGATTACTGCAATGTGCTCTACCTGGGGCTGCCCTTGAAGGGTGTTCGGAAGCCACAGGATGGTGCAGAATGCACAATTCTGGAGACCTCTTGGGTGGTGTGTGGGGCTCCACTGTTGTGCAAGCTACACTGGTTGCCAGTTTGCTTCCCTGCAGTTGAAGCCCTGCCTCTTTTGTTCATGTAAACACAGTTACACAAACACACACGCACCGAGAGAGAGAAAGAGAGACGGAGACAGAGAGACAGGAAAAAAAACAAAAACAAAAAGAGACAGAAACAGAAAAAAGAAACAAAAAGAAAAAGAAAACAACGGACAAAAAAGAAACAGAGAGACCAAAACAGAGAGAGACAGACACAGAGAAAAAGAGAAAGAGACAGAAACAGACAAATAGACAGACAGACAGAAAAAAGGAAGAGAGACAGACAGAGAGAGAAAGAAAAAGATACAGACAGAAAAAAGAGACAAAAAGAGACAGACACAGAAAAAAAAGACAGAAAAAAAAAGAATCATAAAGAAACAGAAAAAAGAAACGGACAGATACAGAAAGAAAAAGAAAGAAAGAAAGAAAGAAAGAAAGAAAGAAAGAAAGAAAGAAAGAAAGAAAGAAAGAAAGAAAGACATAAAAAAGAAACATAGATAAACAGAGAAAGAAAGAAAGAAAGAAAAAGATAGAGACAGAAAAAAAGAGAGACAGACAGAAAAAAAGAATCAGAAAGAAACAGAAAAAAGAGACAAACAGGAACAGACACAGAAAGAAAGAAAGAGAGAGACATTAAAAAAAGGAACACAGACAGACAGAGAAAGAAAAAGAGAGAGACAAACAGAAAAAAGAGAGAGACAGACACAGGAAAAAAGAGAAACAGACAGACAAAAAAAGAAACAGAAAAAAGAGACACAAAGAGGGACAGACACAGAAAGAAAGAAAGAAAAAGAGAGAGAGATAAAAAAAGAAACAGAAAAACACACACACACACACACAGACATTCCTGTATCCCGCCGAGGTGGGGAAGAACCCACCATTCACCCAACCTTCCTGCTTTGTGCACAAACGAAACAACATTTTTTTTAAACCAGCCCCCAAAACAAAAAGCTTTTTTGTGAATGAGAAGAGAGGGCTCCCTTTCCTCTCCCTCTGTTTCCTTCTTGGGAATGATGGGAGTTGTAGTTCGTTGGGAGGCCTGGGTGTGGAAGGAAGATGAGCCCACAAAGAACTTACCTCTGAGGAGACCCTTGAGAAAATAGCCTGGGAATGGCTTGTCCTGGAGACGCAGGAGACAGAAAGTCAGAAATGATCCTCTTGGGGGTTTGTCGGCATGTGGCAAATTGTCGGGTTTTTTTTCTTTTTTCAGCATTTTTTCATCATTGCAGATAGCCCCCGATTTATATCTATCTGTCATCTGTCTGTCTGTCTGTCTGTCTGTCTATCTCTAGCTCTCTCTCTCTCTCTCTCTCTCTCTCTCTCTCTCTCTCTCTCTCTCTCTCTATATATATATATATATATATATATATATATATATATATTATCGTATTGTCGATCTCAATCTCTATCTATCTTTCTCTTATCTATCTATCTATCTATCTATCTATCTATCTATCTATCTATCTATCTATCTATCCCTCTCTCTCTCTGTCTCTCTCTATCCATCTCTCTCTCTCTCTCTCTCTCTCTTCTCCATCTATTTCTATATCTCTCTATGTCTATCTCTCTCTATCAATCTATCTATATCCATCTATCCATCTATCTATCTATCTATCTACCTATCTGTCTATCTGTCTATCTATCTCTATTATCTATTATTATTTTTTTTTTTTATTAATTTTGATTTTATATGCCGCCTTCTCCGGAGACTCAGGGTGGCTTACAGTGCGTTAAGCAATAGCCTTCATACTTTTGTATATTTATACAAAGTCAGTTTATTGCCCCCATAATCCGGGTCCTCACCTTTAGAAAGGATGGAAGGCTGAGTCAACCTTGAGCCTGGTGAGATTCGAACTTGCAGTAATTGCAAGCAGCAGATGTTAATAACAGTGCTTTAGTCCACTGTACTATCAGGCTCTTTATTCTATATCTATCTCGATCTTTCTCGATCTCGATCTCTATCAAATCTCTCTCTAATTTTATTTATAGTTTTTTCTTTGACATACATAAGTGCTTAGTGAGCAGTATATTGTCTGCATCAATTTACTTTATACACAATACTAATAACAATAGTAATACTATTCAGGTATATATGGTAATGCTCTTTCAACTTCTAACATTTACGTCTACGTAGTAATTATAATATATTATAAGCAGCATGCCTAATCATATTTTCCCCATTTCAAATGTCTACCTCTATTTCCTAACGCTTCATAAAGCAAATCCTATATTAAGAATAGGATTCTGTATCTATCCGTCATCTCTTGCCCCAGGGGGGCCCTCGGTTGAGGATCGACTGAGCCCGATCCCGTCATCGGGACCAGAATTTCCATTGCTAAAGAAGGGGACTTCCTTAAGTCACATTTGATTATTTTTTTATGGCCCTTTTTGCCAGGGTTGCTAAGCAAATCGATGCAGTCATTAAGTGGATCACAAGGTCGTTAAGCGAATCCGGCTTCCCGCTGCTTGTCGGGAGGTCGCAAATGATACTCTTGTGACCCCAGGATCTTGCAACTGTCATAAATACATGCTGATTGCCAGACACCCAAATTCTGATCGTCTGACTTGGGATAATGCTGTGAGGGTCGTAAATAGGAGGACAGGTCATAAGTCATTGTTTTTAACTTGTCTCTGTGAATGGTCACTAAATGAACGCTTATAAATCTGCCTAGAACTGTGATGGCATTCTCCTTGCTAGATTTTTTTTCAAATGGCAGGGGTTGGACTAAATGACCTCACGATATATTTTGGTGAGTCTTCATATAGATCAGGGGTCCCCAAACTTGGCAGCTTTAAGAGCTGTGGACTTCAACTCCCAGAATTCTCCAGCCAGCTGGCTGGAGAATTCTGGGAGTTGAAGTCCACAGCTCTTAAAGCTGCCAAGTTTGAAGACCTCTGATATAGATAATTATTTTACTGCTAATGGAAAAGCTACCCATTCGCAGAAGAAATACAATTAGTCCGTGAAAGATTGCAGATTGTGGTTGGATGATCCTGGGAAGCTGAAACCATCATAAATATATATAGTCCTCGTTTTATGACCACAATTGAGGTCAGCATTTCCGTTGCTCAGCAAAACAGTTTGTGGAGCGAGTTTTGCTCCATTTTACCACCTGTCTTGCCACAGTTGTTATTGCGAAATCAGTGCAGTTGTTTAAATTAGTCGCACGGTCGTTAAACGAAACTGGATTTTTTCCCATTGACTTGGCTTGTTGGAAGGTCGCAAAAGGGGATCACATGACCTCCCCCTCCCCTCCCCCGGGACACTGTGACCGTCATAAATATGAGCAGGTTGCCAAGCCTCCGAATTTTGATCATGGAGATGCAACGGTTGCAAGTGTGAAGAACGGTCACAAGCCACTTTTTTCAGTGCCGTAAGTCCTCGACTTACAACCGTCACTAAATGAACTGGTCAACAGTTCATTTAGTGACGGTTGTAAGTCGAGGATTTACGGCCGAGGATTATCTGTAGGTTGAGGACTATCTGTACGCTAGGTTGCCCAGCACCCGAACGTTAATCACGCAAATGTGGGGATGCCGTAACAGTCGTAAATCAAGGACTAGCTCTATTTCTGCTGAGAATGGGTAGCTCTGGCTCACCAGAGGCATCACGAGCTCATTTAGTCCAACCCCCTTTTGGTGCAGGGTTCCCCTCACTGGGGGTGTCCAAAGAAGATGCTTTTGAGCAGAAGCAGGATTCCCATCTTTGGGGGTGGGAGGGAACCCACCAGAGTGAAGGGGGGGAAGCAGGAAGGACCAAGAGGAAGACCCCCACCGGGTCGTGACCCACCTTCAAATCCAGCTCAGAAAAAATGTCCGCTTGAAATCGGCATGGTGGAGAGGGCCTTGTGGATTTGGCCAAGAATCCCAAAAGAGACACCTGGGGAAAAAAAAAAAGGAATGTGGGTGGGAGGGAGGCAGTGGGGGGCAAAGGAGAGGGATGTGGGGTGAAAGGAGAGGGTTAAATGTGGCCTCTGTTCCTCCCCTTCATCATCGTCCCCCCCCGGAGCCCCTCTTGGTTCATGGACACTTCCAAGGCCCCTCCCCACTCGGTTGCTGTTGCGTTATTGTGTTATTTCTGCCTTCCCTTTCCAACTGGGAGCCATGCCCCAGGTGGACCAAGGAGTCAGGACCCCATAGTTGCCCTCCCCCTCCTCCTCCTCTCTGCATACCCCACTCCCTTCTAGCATTGATGATGATACTTAGCTTGGTAATGAAACATCTACAAGAAAACCACCAAGCTCAGAGAGCACCAAGGACCCCACAGTCCTCCTTCCTCCTTCCTTCCTTCCTTCCTTCCTTCCTTCCTTCCCTCCCTCCTTCTTTCTCCTCCCTTCCCCATCCTTCTTCCTTCCTTCCTTCCTTCCTTCCCTCCCTCCCTCTTTCCTTCCTTCTTTCCTTCCCTCCCTCCCTCCTTTTCTTCCCTTCCTTCCTTCCACACCCCTCCCTCCCTCCTCCCTCCCTCCCTCCTTCCTTCCTTCCTTCTTCCTCCCTCCCTCCCTCCCTCCCTCCTTCTTTCTTCCTTCCTCCTTCCTTCCTCCCTCCCTCCCTCCTTCCCTCCTCCCTCCCTCCTCCTTCCTTCCTTCCTCCCCTCCCTCCTCCCTCCCTCCCTCCTTCTTTCTTTCCTTCCTTCCTTCCTCCCTCCCTCCCTCCCTCTTCTTCCTTCCTTCCTTCCTTCCTCCCTCCCTCCCTTCCTTCCTTCCTTCCTTCCCTTCCTTCCCTCCCTCCCTCCCTCCCTCCTCCCTCCTCCCTCCTTCCTTCCTTCCTTCCTTCCTTCCTTCCTTCCTTCCCTTCCCCTCCTCCAAACCACACTCCCTTCTACCATTGATGATGTTCCCTAGTCTGGTAATGAAGTGTCTGTAAGAAGAGCATACAGGCTGAAAGAGCACCAAACACCCTACAGTCCTCCTCCTCCTCCTCTTCTTTCTCCTTCCCCTTTTTCCTCCTCCTCCTCCGCCTCACATACCCCACTCCCTTCCCACAGTGGGGATGTACCTTAGTTTGGTAATGAAGCATTGGAAGAAAAACATCCAAGCTCAGAGAGCAGCAAGGACTACCTCCTCCTTCCCTCCCCCCTCCTCCTCTCCCGTAAACCCCCTTCCCTTCTAGCCCTGATGATGTTCCCTAGTTGGGTCATGAAACGTCTCCAAGAAAACTACCAAGCTCAAGAGACCACCCAGGACCCCTCAGAGTCAAGTTCTATGCAGACCAAGAAAACTTACTGTTGAGGGCCTGGAGTTGTGTATTGATGATGTTGAGCCAAGCTTGAAACATGGGACACAACTAGAACAGAGCAGAAATTGGGAAACTGAGAGAGAGAGAGAGATTAAAGAAAAGGCCACAATGGGACCAGCAGACCTTCATCTAAGAGCTGAAGGAAACAAAGAAGAACTATCTGGACCAGGGGTCTCCAACCTTGGCAACTTTAAGACTGGTGGACTTCAACTCCCAGAATTCCTCAGCCAGCTTTGCTTCTGGGAGTTGAAGTCCACCAGTCTTAAAGTTGCCAAGGTTGGAGACCCCTGATCTAGACAATTCCCAGCTCATGGGTCTTGTTTGGGTCTGGAAACTTCAGTTGGTGTCTACACACTGATGGGTGAGACCCAGCATAACATCTCCACGGTGGACACTGCATTGGCTCCCAGTAGATCTCCAAAGATCCTTTCAGGTGCCAAGATTAACCTATGAAGTTCTAGAGACCTTGAGCACAGGGATCTTGGAGACTGTCTCCTCCAACCAGTCGATTCTTCTGCTTGGGAGAAGAAGATGTCCACCTGAGAGGTGAAGGCGTAGGAGCCTTGAAGTAGAAGGAGTGGAAGAACTCCTGGCTCTTAATCCCTTTGCCAGGTTCTGCCTAATTCCCAGCAATGACCCACTGAGGTTCTTCTCTAAGTAGTTTCCTTTATTATTCCTTTTTTAGCTTTTTAAATTGTCAATGGGTTTTAGTTCGAATGTTTTAAATTGGGCCAAAGTCATGTAATTCTTTTAAAAATTTTAAATTTTGTATTGGTATGTCTTTTAGTTCTGGCTGTGCACCGCCCTGAGTCCACTAGGAGAAGGGCGGTATATAAATTGAATAAAATAAATAAATAAATTGTTCTTGCCAAACTAAAGCAGACTGCTGGGACCATAAAAAGTACACTCTGAGAACTATTGGGGAAGAACTGTCTTCAGCCTCTTTCTCACACACAATCTAAATTGTGCTGGCTCTTCCTCCTCTGGAATTGCAGCCCCTCCCTCCTGGGAATCCAGACTACATTCCACTGCATCATCAGATCTACCAACTTTAGAAGAGTAACAGAATAACAAGAGTCAGAAGGGACCTTGGAGGTCTTCTAGTCCAACCCCCTGCCCAGGCAGGAAACCCTACACCACTTCAGACAAATGGTTGTCCAACATCTTCTTCAAAACTTCCAGTGTTGGAGCATTCACAACTTCTGGAGGAGAGTAGTTCCACTGGTTAATTGTTCTCACTGTCAGGAAATTCCTCCTTAATTCTAAGTTGCTTCTCTCCTTGATTAGTTTCCACCCATTGCTTCTTGTTCTACTCTCAGGAGCTTTGGAGAATAGCCTGACTCCCTCTTCTTTGGGGCAATCCCTGAGATATTGGAAGACTGCTATCATGTCACCCCTAGTCCTCTTTCCATGAAAGGGTCATGAAGACTTGGTCCTTCCAGCTGATGTTTGAAAGCAGAATCTCTGGTGTCTTCTGTTCTACTCTAAACTCAGAGCTCTGCCAGAATTATCTTAATTTTCAGTTCCATTTTCACACTGTAATCTTAGATTAAAACAATTTTTCTTCACTATTTTGGGGAACTGTCTGCTGTTTTGCAATTTGGCAAACGTTGGGAAATAACAGCATTTGCAAAACTGAAATTGTGGTCCGTAGAGACCCAACCTCATGAGCTTGAATCAAGGCAGGTCAAAAAAGTCAAGATTTGAACTGCAAGCGTGAGAGCGAATCCCCACCTCTATTTAACGTGCATGACCAGACGTTTAAAAAGGGGCAACATACTGGATATAAATGTAAATAATGACCCTGCTAACAAAATGAATATTTAAAAATAAAGAGAAGGAGCGGGAAGATAAAAGTTAAGAGTAAAGACAAAAGTCGATGCAAAAAGTTGCAAAATTGTATATATCTGTTGTTAGTATTGTATTTTAACATTTGATGTATGTGTATGTGTTTTTTTTTTTTCTTTTGATCTCTTTTGCTATTGTGCACTTGGTTTTAAAAATGTAAAATACTCAATAAAATTATATTTTAAAAAGGGAGGGGGCACAATTCTGATCAAGCATCAAGGCCAGTGAACTCCACAATGGAAAACATTAAAATGAATACAGCAATAGAGAGAGATATGAAGGAATTGGAAGGGAGGAGAGAGAGGGACGGAAGAGTAGGGAGGAAAGAAGGGAAGGGAAAGTAGAGTAGGAGAGAAGGCAAGACGGGGGGGGGAAGAGAGAGGAGAAGAAGGGAAGGGGAAGTAGAGAGAGAAGAAGAAGGTGGGGAAAGAAAGTTGGAAGGAGAAGTGGGAGAGGCTAGGTTTGAGGAGAAAGATTGCTGTACAATTAAAAAAAAGATGAAGTGGAAGAAAGGCAGCTCTGAACAAACAAATATTAAGAAAAAGAAAATTGTTTAAGAATAAAAGAGGACAAATATGTATAAATAGTAAAGTTAGAATTTAGGGATAAATGAAGAAGGTGTTTATATATGCAAGTATAGAAATACTGAGGTATATTCAAAAAAAAAAAGGAAAGGAGGAAAGACGATATTGACAAAAATTGTAACTGAGTAAAATGTATTTGAATTTGACTAATTGTATAAGATAAGAAACGACCAACACTCTGTTCAAAAAAAGAAAAGAAAAAGAAAGAAAGAAAAGAAAGAAAGAAAGAAAGAAAGAAAGAAAGAAAGAAAGAAAGAAAGAAAAAGAAAGAAAGAAAGAAAGATGTGAGTGAAGGTGGGAGAGGAGAAAAGAAAAAAAAACCAATAAAACTTTTTTTTCTTTTTTTTTTAAATAAAGCATCCAGGCTTGCAGCCTGACCTCTTCGCCTCGTCTCATTTATTACCAAAAACTTACCAGGGCTTGGCTGGCAAATAGCCAGATATCACGTGTTGGAGTTCAGATTTAAAAATGAGGACATCACGATACCGTATGCATTGATGGGTGCGGGCTGGGAACGTGATCTGAAGTTAAGCCTTCTGGATGAAAACTTCAGAAACGTCCTGAACTGATCTGTTTACCTTCTGCAAATGTACCGTGTCAAATCTCCCTTCTTCGTGTTTGCACATTTCTTTCCCCCTTCAAAATAGGCCCTTCTTCCCAGGGACAAATAATAATAATAAAAAAAAGATTGGAAAATCGTAGCAAGAGGCTAATTTAAAGCCGGCCAGCAATGTGGTGCCTGGTACAACGATTTTGTAATTGCAGCCATTTGTCCAGAATAAGAGCCTTGGTGGCGCAGCAGACTAAAGCGCTGTTAAATAGCACCAGCTGCCTGCAATTACTGCAAGTTCAAATCTCTCCAGGCTCAAGGTTGACTCAGCCTTCCATCCTTTCTAAGGTAGGTAAAATGAGGACCCAGATTGTGGGGGCAATAAGCTGACTTTGTATAAAAAAGAACACCACTTGGGGGGGGGGGGCGAAAGCCCTACTAAGCAGGTTTATACAAAAGTATGAAGGCTATTGCTTAATGCATTGTAAGCCGCCCTGAGTCTCCAGAGAAAGGGCGGCATATAAATCGAACCAATAAATGAATGAATGAATGAATGAATGAATGAATAAATAAATGGTCTAGGGTAGAGATGTGAAACTCCATTTCATGGAGGGCCACATTGAGGTTGTGTTTGACCTTGGAGGGGTCAGGGGGGTTTTGGCCAGCTCGATGTCACTCATGTTGGGGGCACCTGTGGTGGTCTGGGCAGGGCTGGGGGGATCCATTGTCCCCAGCAGAGGAAGGCGAGACCAGGGAGAGCGCCAAACCCTGGTCATCCAGAGGAGCCTTGCCGTCCCTCTCAGGCCACGTGGAGGAACCCTGGACAGTGGTGCAGGCTGTCCAGAGCCCTAGGCAGAGGAGGGCAAGCACCCGGCCTGGCTTCTTAGCTCCCAGGACCCGGGACCCACACAGCCCTGCAGCCCGACTTCCCCGAGTAGGTGCCCAGCTGCGCTTACCTCCTCCTCGAGGATGCTGCTCGCTATCCCTGGCCAGGTTGCTCATGGTGTGTGCGGGAGGGCAAAGTGTGTTGGCCAGTGGGAGGCCCATTCTCTCTCCCGCAAGGAGACCTGCTTTGTAAGCAAAGCATCCTCAGCGATGGGATGGGAGACCAGCAGGAGAGGTCAGGAGGAGGAGACAAGGAGATGGTGAAGGGCAGCAGGGCTGCTGGTGGCCAAGTGCTAAGGCAGGACTTCTTTTCCTTCCTTCCTTCCTTCCTTCCTTCCTTCCTTCCTTCCTTCCTTCCTTCCTTCCTTCCTTCCTTCCTTCCTTCCTTCCTTCCTTCCTTTTCCCCTTTTCTTCTTTTCTTCTTTTTTCCTTCTTTCTTCTCCTTCCTTTCTTCTTCCTTCCCCTCTTTCCTTCTTTTTCCTTCCTTGCTCTCTTCCCATCTTTCCTTCTTTTTCTTTGTCTTTCCCCTTTTCTCCTTTTCTTCTTTTTCCTTCTTTCTTCTCCTTCCTTTCTTCTTCCTTCCCCTCTTTCCTTCTTTTTCCTTCCTTGCTCTCTTCCCATCCTTCCTTCTTTTTCTTTGTCTTTCCCCTTTTCCTTTTCTCCTTTTTCCTTCTCCTTCCTTTCTTCTTCCTTCCCCTCCTTCCTTCTTTTTCCTTCCTTGCTCTCTTCCCATCCTTCCTTCCTTTTTCTTTGTCTTTCCCCTTTCCTTTTCTCCTTTCCTGCCCCTTCTTGGGTGCTCAAATGCAAAAGGGGAAACATTTCCCGATGTTTCAATGCCACTTTTGCTAGTCGTTTGTTTTGCTCGCCCTCTGCCAGAGAAAACGGAGCTTTTCATGAGCTGCGTTTTCAGACACAACGGCCTCCTGCAGCCCTCTACCAGTGAAAAGGGAGCTTCGGAGAGTGTTTGTGCCCCCTCCCCAAGCTCTGTTTTCGCTGGGAGAGGCACCGCAGGCCAGACCTTCGCTGTTTCCATGGCAGCCCCACGGGCCAGATCTAAGCACCCCGTGGGCCGGATTTGTCCCACAGGCATTGAGTTTGATAGTCCCTGGTCTAGGGTCTCCTGCTTGGGCCGGGGGTTGGATTCTAAGACCTCCAAAGTCCCTTCCAACTCTGTTATTCTGTTCCTCTATTAAAGTTGGGAGATCTGATGATGTGGGGTGGAATGTAGTCTGGATTCCCAGGAGGGAGGGGCTGCAATTCCAGAGGAGGAAGAAGCGACCCAGTTTTTAGATTGTGTGTTGTGGCTCCATTGCCTGAGCCTGGGCTATCGACAGATGCAGACTCTGAGAGTGAGGGAGAGGAGTTGGCAAGGCCTCCCTCTCCAGGACCCTCCTCTCTGGCAAAGCCTCTGGAGGACACCGAAGGCCAAACGATAGGCTCAGAGCCAAGCACGTCCCCGCAGCCACAGGTGGACAGCGATGAAGAAGATAAGTGCTGGCTGGACCCGCGACAGAGGCGCAGGGAGAAGCGTGCACAGCAGAGGGGAAGGCGTGCCAGAGATTAGCTGAGTCACTGGACCATACCCCACAGGGTATAAATGTGGGTGTGGTGGCTGGTTCAGTTTGTGACGAGCAAAAACTAGAACTAATCCATGATCTCTGCGTTACTGGACTTTGCCTGCTTTATCGGACTGCATTTGAATTAATCCTTGTATTGTTGAAAACTCTGTTTTATCAGAATGCTGGCAGTCTAATCTTTGTTTTGTGTGAGTAAAGTCTGAATTGGCAGCTAGCCACTGGGTTCTGCCAGCTTTATCTTCAAAGAATTTTGTCATGTGGCTTATTAACTCCGGGCCGTCTGTGGGGGTGCGTGAGTGGACGGAGACAGAACATTGTGTGTGAGAAAGAGGGTGAAGACAGTTCCTCCCTAATAGTTCTTGGACCATAATTTTTGTGGAATGTGGCGCTAGGAGAGGTCCAAGATCCCTTCCAACTCTGTTACAGGTAGTCCTCGACTAACAACAGTTCGTTTAGTGACCGTTTGAAGTCACAATGGCTGTGAAAAAAAGTGACTTATGACCGTTTTCCTCGCTTAATGACTGTTGCAGCATCCCCGTGGTCACGTGATCAAAATTTGTGTGTTTGGCAATTGGCATGTAACAAAGGGTCCTCGACTTACAACAGTTCATTTAGTGACCGTTTGAATTTACAACAGCACTGAAAAAGGTGACCTGTGACCATTTTCACACTTATGACCGTTGCAGCCTCCCCATGATCAAAATTCAGACACTTGGCCACTGACTCGTATTTATGACGGTCGCAGTGTCCTGGGGTCACGTGATCCCCCTTTGGTGACCTTCTGACCACGAAAGTCAATGGGAGAAGCCATACTCACTTAATGACCGTGTTAGTAGCTTAACGACGGCGGCGATTCAGTTAACAACGGTGGCAAGAAAGGTTGTAAAAACAGGGCAAAACTCGCTTAGCAACTGTCTCTCTTCGCAGCAGGCATTTTGGGCTCAGCTGTGGTCGTAAGCCGAGGACTCCTTGCGTTCTGTTATTCTGAATTGCCATCCAGAAATATAGCAGTAAAGGAGCGACCCTCAACCTTTCCTTCAGGACTTAAGATTTAAATCATAATATTTCTTCAAGCTTTCCTGGACCCCCCCTGTGGTGACATAAATGGTTGAGAACCGCTGGTATAGGCCTTCAGGCAGGGGGGTTGGGCTAGATGACCTTCGAAGTCCCCTCCCAGCCCCTGGGATTCTGTGATTCTTCCAGATCTCTAGGCTGGAGGTGGGCCCCGAAGAGCAGGGGAGCCGAAAGACCTGCCTGCAGGCGGGTTGGACTAGATGACCTACAAGGTCCCTTCCAACTCTGTCAATCTGTAGTCTATTCTTCCAGCTTTCCTCCCACACTCCCCCCCCTCCGGTGGGCATCTGGTGGTCACTCACCACCGCAGGCAGGGTGTTCTGAATGGCCGAGTTGACCATGTTGCTGAGCAGCGAGGCAATCAGGCTGCGGAGAAAAGGAAAGCAGAGGGTCGCTCAGTGAGGAGCCGAGTGGCGTTTCAGCTCCCCCGGGGGAGGAGAGGGGACCAGCCCCAGCAACGAGGCTCAAACCATCAAGGGGGTGGGGGGGGAGAATAAAAATAAAGAAAGCTGCACGTCTTGTGAGATCACTTGATCTTGCAAGTCCTCTGCAGCTTTTCCTTTGCAGCATTTACTCTTTACTTTTGCTCGCTCTGCCTGCCTGTCTATGCGGTCTGTTTATTTATCTACAGTCTCTCTCTATCCACCTATCATCTCTCTAGCATCTATCTATAACTGTCTGTCTGTCTGTCTCTCTCTCTATCATCCATCCATCTCTATCCAATCTAATTTCTCTCTCTCTCTCTCTCTCTCTCTCTCTCTCTATCTATCTATCTATCTATCTATCTATCTATCTATCTAATCATATCTATCTATCTATCTCTATCTCTATATCTCTATCTATCTATCTAATCATATCTATTTATCTATCTATCTATCTAATCATATCTATCTATCTAATCTATCTATCTATCTATCTATCTATCTACAGTATCTATCTATCATCTCTATCTAATCTCTATCTATATCTATCTTATCTATCTATCTATCTATCTATCTATCTATTCATATCTATCTCTATCTATCTATCTATCTATCTATCTATCTATCTATCTATCTATCATCTCTATCTATCTAATCATCTCTATATCTATCTCTCTATCATTTATCTAATCATATCTATCTACCTATCTACCTATCCCTATCCTATCTTTCTATTTCTATCTATATTATATCTGTCTGTCTATTATCTCTGTGTCTATCTGTCTGTCATCATGTCATTTCCATGTGTCTGTTGTCCATCTATCTATCTGTCTCCCTCTTTCCCTCTCCCTCTCTCTTTCTCTCTCCAGCTTCAGTACTACAGTATCTCTTCTCTCATTCTCAACCTCTCCATCATGAATGACCGTGGTCTGGGCTCACCCAACTAAGCCACAAAAACTCCCCAAACATGGTCTGTCTAGACAACACCGCTGGGTCTCAAGGTGGCCTGGTGAAGAATATGGCGGGGAGGCAGCCTCTGGGCCCCCTGGGTGGACCCTTAGAAGGCAGACCCCACCTCTCTCCCCTCCTTTCTGCCCATACCCTGGAGGCAGCTTGACGGTAAAACCAACCACAAGGTTTCGGCAGTTTTTAAGGACCAGCTTGAGGTCACCAGGTTTGTCTTGGGTGATGGCCAGGTCTGCAGTCATGTTCACATCCACAGTGACGGTCCGGAACAGCTTCCTGTTGAAGACAAATAGGAAAGGGATGTGATGGTGGAAATCCAGACCAGGCTGCCTGGTCCTTTCCTGCTCCACCATTCTGGGCAAACCTATAGCATCCCAGAGGGCACACAAGCCGTCATCCCAGTTCAGCTCAGCTGTGCATGCACACACGGCTGCCACCAGCCAGCTGGTCTTTGAGTCTCTGCCGCACATGCGCAGGGGGTGGGGTGCATGCAGGGAGCCACACATGCATGCACGGGGGGGGGGGGCATGCAGGGGGCATTTTGGGGCTTCAGGCGCACGTGCTTTGGGCACTTGGTCCAGAAAAGGTTAGCCATCACTGACCTACATCATTCTGGACAAACCATTGTCCAGTCTCTCTCAGGGTTCCAAGTAATACACCCATAGCAAACATAACTCCGAGGCAGGTAGATTCCCTCAAAGAATAGCTTATTTGGATATATCCAGGGGTGAAATGCTCCCAGTTCGGACCGGATCGCCCAATCTGGTAGCGATGGAGGCGGGTGGTTCAGAGAACCGGTAGCAAAAAATCCCTGCCCCCCCTCCCCCATACCCAGCTAAGCTGCACAATCATCCGAGGCTTTTTTTTTTTTTTACTTTTAAAAGGATTTTTTTCTACAACCTCTTTGGCCGAAAAAATGCTTTTAAAAGTTAAAAAAAAAAGCCTCTGACGATCGCGCGGCTCAGCTGGGATCCTCAAAGGCTTTTAAAAGCATTTTTTCTACAACCTCTTCAGCTGAAGAGGTTGTAGAAAAAATGGTTTTAAAAGTTAAAAAAGAGAAAAAGTTGGCCATGCCCACCCAGTCACATTACCCTCCCCCCACCAAGCCACACCCACAGAACCGGTAGTAACAAATTTTAGATTTCACCCCTGGGAAGGATGGGCTGAAGGAAAACGTACAGCTTATTTTTGTATCTAGCGAGCACGGGGGATTTCAGAGCCAGCTCGAGTTTACCGCAACCAACATCCTGAGTAAAAGAACCCTTTGCTTTAACCAGATGGAGTCGAGGGTTTCTCTTTCCCAAGGGATCGGATTGGGGCAGGTCTGACACAACCTCTCTCCCTCAAACACGTTTGACTCACACTGGCAATTTCATGACGATCTGTGTTTGCAAATTGAGGATTAACTCCGTTCCATGTATGATCTTCCAAGATCCTCTGATAAACTGAAGATTCAAAATATCATGCCTATGGAGGGAAAGAAATAAAGAGAGTAAAGGAAAGGGGTCACCCCAAAATTTCCATTGGCTTTTCAAGCTGCCTTCACCGGTCCCCCTGTTTTCTCTTACTGTCTACCAAGGGATCCATTTGGCTCGATAACGGAAGTGATCCATCAAACTCATCTTTCAATCAGAATCTCACTTGTCTCCTGGAGAGGTCTTCCCATCTACAGGTAGTCCTCAACTTATGACTACAACAGACCTCCACATTTCTGCTAAGCGAGATGTGTGTTAAGTGAGTTTTGCCCCAATTTACAACCTTTCTCGCCCCAGTCGTTAAGCGAATCGTGCAATTGGTAAGTTAGTACCAAGGTTGTTAAGTGAATCTGATTGATGTGGCTTGTCAGAAGGTCTCAACAGTCCTCCAAAGCTTCTCGCTTACAGGTATTCCTCGACTTATGACCGCAGTTGAGCCGCAAATTTCCATTGCTCACCAGGAGAGTTGTTCAGTGAGTTTTTCCTCATTTTACGACCTTTGTTGCCACAGCTGTGAAGTGAATCACTGCAGTCGTTAAGTCGGTCACCCGGTCACTAACTGAATCTGGCCTCCCTATTGACTTTGCTTGTCAGAAGGTCGCAAAAGGGGAATCACGTGACCCCGGGACACTGCGACCGTCATAAGTACATGCCAGTGGCCAAGCTTCTGAATTTTGATCCTGTGACTGCAGGGATGCTGCAACGGTCGTAAGTGTGAAAAATGGCCACACATCACTTTTTTCATATCGTCGTAACTTCGAACGGTGGTGCGGTGGCCTAGAGGTGGAGCTCTCGCCTCACAATCCGGAGGCTGTGAGTTCGATCCTACCCTGTTTCCCCCAAAATAAGACCTCCCCTGATAATAAGCCCAATTGGGCTTTTGAGCACATGGCAAGAAGGCCAAGCGCTTATTTCAGGGTTGAAAAAAATATAAGACAGGGTCTTATTTTCAGGGAAACACGGTAGATAGAGGCAGATATTTCTCTCTCTGGATACGCTGAGAATGTATCTGCTGAACAAAACTCCTCATTGGTGACAGGAAAGGCATCCGGCCAGTAAACAGTCTGCTAACTCCATTCCATTGCCCAGACTCCATCCTGCAAGTGATTATGCGGTCATTAAAAGAAGATGATGATTGTAACTTTGAACGGTCATTAAATGGACTGCTTTAAGTTGAGGACTGCCTGTAGTAGCATCTGTGATTCTTTTCCTTTCCTTTTTTTTAACCTCACATTCGCAGCCACCACCCTGAGGCCGACGTGAATAATGAAGCTCCACTCAGCACGGAGAATCAGTTGGTTCGTCCTGCGCTGTGAATTATCTGAAAATAATCTGGCTTTATCTGGAGAGAAATTTATGGTGCTTTGCTCACCTGCATCTTCTAGTCTATCTCTAGACACGCAGACTTTCCAGGTGAGAGATTAAGTCTGCATGGAACCGCCAGGCATTTTCTCACCCTCCATAATCTGATTTATTTTTCCTAGCTCAAATGCAAAAGGGTATTTTTCAATCGAGAAAAAAAACACGAAGCCATTCCGAACCATATATCGAAATACGCTTCCCATAACTTTCCCCTGCAATAAATCCAACCTTCTCAAGCAGAGGACCTCCTGATGTTTTGGGAATCCTCAGCCAAGCAAGAATTCAAGGAGCTGAAATTCAGGGTTTCTCCGGGACTTCAGGTGGGAGGAGACCAAGAATAAACAGGTAATCCCGAATTTACAACCATTTGTTTAACTGAACTCTTAACCGTTACAACATCCCCATGGTCATGCGATCAAAATCCACAAGCTTGGCAACTGGTTTCATATTTATGACGGATGCAGCGTCCAGAGGTCACGTGACACCCCCCCCGCTTTTGTGACCTTCTGACAAGCAAAGTCAATGGGGAAGCCAGATTCACTTAACAACCATGTCATTAACTCAAGAGCTTGTCTTCAGAAGTTGTGGGTACTTCCTCACTGGAGGTCTTTAAGAAGAGACTGGACAGCCACGTGTCTGAAACGGTATAAGGTCTCCTGCATGAGCAGGGGGTTGGACTAGAAGGCCTTCAGGCTCCCATCCGGCCCCTAGGATTAAATAGATAGATAGATAGATAGATAGATAGATAGATAGATAGATAGACACAGATAGATAATAGATAGATAGATAGATAGATAGATAGATAGATAGACACAGATAGATAGATAGACAGACAGATAGATAGATAGATAGATAGATAGATAGATAGATAGACTGACACAGATAGATAATAGATAATAGATAGATAGATAGATAGATAGATGATAGACAGACAGACAGACAGACAGACAGATAGATTGATAGACAGACAGAGATAGATAGATAGATGATAGATAGATAGATACATAGACAGACACAGACAGACATAGATAGATAGATAGATTATAGATAGACAGACAGAGAGATAGAGATAGATAGACAGACAGACAGACAGATAGATAGATTGATAGACAGACACAGATAATAGATAGATAGATAGATAGATAGATAGATAGATAGATAGACAGACAGACAGATAGATAGATAGATTGATTGACAGGCACAGATAGATAGATAGACAGACAGACAGATAGACAGACACAGATAGATAAAAAATAATAGATAGATAGATAGATAGATAGATAGATAGATAGATAGATAGATAGATAGACTGACACAGATAGATAGATAGATAGATAGATAGATAGATAGATAGATAGACTGACCAGATAGATAGATAGATAGATAGATAGACTGACACAGATAGATAGATAGATAGATAGATAGATAGATAGATAGATAGACAGACAGACAGACAGACAGACAAATAGACAGACAGACAGACAGACAGACAGACAGACAGAGATAGATAATAGATAGATAGATAGATAGATAGATAGATGATAGCTAGACAGACAGACAGACAGACAGATAGACAGACAGACAGATAGATGATAGACAGACAAGATAGATAATAGATGATAGATAGATAGATACATAGACAGACACAGACAGACATAGATAGATAGATAGATGATAGATAGACAGACAGAGAGATAGAGATAGATAGACAGACAGACAGATAGATAGATTGATAGACAGACACAGATAGATAGATAGATGTAGATAGATAGTAGATAGATAGATAGATAGATAGATAGATAGATAGTAGATAGAAGATAGACAGACAGACAGATAATAGATAGATTGATTGACAGGCACAGATAGATAGATAGACAGACAGACAGACAGATAGACAGACACAGATAGATAATAAATAAAATAGATAGATAGATAGATAGATAGATAGATAGATAGATAGATAGATGATAAGATAGATAGATAGATAGATAGATAGATAGATAGATAGATAGATAGGTGATAGATAGACAGACAGACACACAGATAGATAGATAGATAGATAGATAGATAGATAGATAGACACATAGATAGATAGAGAGAGAGAGAGAGAGAAAGAGACAGACAGACAGAGATAGATAGAGAGATAAAGATAGAGAGATAGAGAGATAGAGAGATAGAGAGATAGATAAATAGATGATAGACCGACAGACAGACAGACAGACACAGAGATAGGTAGACAGACAGATTGATTGATAGATAGATTGATAGACACAGATAGATAGATAGATAGATAGATAGATAGATAGATAGATAGATAGATAGAGAGAGAGAGAGAGAGAGAGAGAGAGAGAGAGAAGACAGACAGACAGACAGACAGACAGACAGGCACAGAGATAGATAGACAGACAGAGGGATGGATGGATGGATGGATGGATGGAGCAGCTTCCCTTCATAAATTGTGTGGGATGCTCCATCCCTGGAGTCTTTTAAGAAGAGTCTGGACAACCACCTGTCTGACATGGTATAGAGCCGTGAAGGGGAACCTATGGCATGCGTGCTGGAAATGGCACACATAGCCATGTCACCAGGCACGCACAGCATCGCCCATTCCTCTTCCGGGTTTCCGGCGCACGTATGCGCACCGGCCAACTAGTCTTCTGGATACTGGCATGCATGCACACGCGACAATCACCTGGCCTTCATGCATGCGGCAGTGCCAGAAACCGGAAGATAAGCCGGCCGGCTGATTGCCGTGGATGCATGCACATTAGTAACTAGAAGACTAGCTTGCTGATGTGCATGCGTGTGCTGGAAACCGGAAGTTCATTTCCTGGCACACGCATGTCCACTGGGCAGCTCCTCTTAGTGCACGTGGACACCAGCCATGCCATCTTTGGAGAGGTAGCGGCAACTCCTCCTCCTCCTCCTCCTCCTTCCAGCCTCACTGTCAAACCTTGGAGTTTGCCTTATCGGGGGAGAGAAAGGTCCTGGTGTGTGGGGGGGAAACATCTGTGGTGTCGGTGCAGTGTTCCGGAGAAGCCACATTGGAGCACCGATCAGCTGTGTGCATGGCAGCGGCCAGTGCAAGAGAAGTGGGATGCCCGATGATCAGCTGTGTAGCCCCACGGAGGTGATCTAGTGATATCTGGCATGGCCTGCGCCGGCGGGGCGCATGGCTTGTCTACATAACTGTGCTGGGAGGCTGTTGTGGCCCATCAGTGGCCTGTGCAGTTAGTAGCTGATTCCGACAGCGAGGAGGCTGGTGTGGTGCTGTGCCAGCAGCCTGTGCAGCTGGCACTCGAGTCGGACAGTGAGGAGGCTGGAGAAGATGTGGTGCCAGAGGCGGGGATTCAGCCAGGATCTTCAGAACCTCCGGAAGCTCCTTTAAGTGAAGAGGAGGAAGAGGAGGAGCCTCTTCTCGATGCATGGGCGCGCAGAGCTGCCAAAAGGCAGGAGTGGCTCCTCAGGAGGAGGTCTCCTCGAGAGTAAGGCTTGGGGCTAATTAGCCATTCCCTTAGCCTATTTAAGGAGGAACACCGACTGAAGCAAGTTGTAGGGAACAACTTTAGTTCACTCTCCTTCGCGTCTGAATTCTCTGCAAATTGCTTCTGGGCTTTCTGCCAACCCTAGTAAGACTGTGATTACCTTATCTTAGAATTCTTGTAGGCTGTTAAGAAAGTTTATTAACAGCCTTTGTTTTGAAAAAGACTGAGTTATTTTCGTAAATTAAGTTGGTGTACAAACTTGGTGTGTGCTGCGTTCTTTGGGGTCCGTAGCTGGGGCAGAACAGAGGCGGCCACCGCTGCCTTTGCAGAGGCAGTGGTGGCTCCTCCTCCTGCTGCCAGCTTCGTGCTCCACAGCTGATCGTCGGGCATCCCGGGTGCACAGCTGAGAGTTTCTCCCTCCCAGTAAGGCGGCAAGGCAGGCAGGCAGGTGGGTGCAGGGGAATGACTGGCCGGAAGTAGCCACCCACCATGTTTTGAGTTCCAGGTTGGTGCAGGAGGCTTCTGCCAGGCCCAAAACAGGGTTCAGGGTGGATTTGTGGTGGGCTAGGGCACATGCACAGTGGGACGCGCAGGGCGCATGTGTGGGGTGTGTGGAGGGGGTCATGTGTGGGGCGCACATTGCATTATGGGTGCCAGCATGCACACGTGCTGTTGTGCTCGTGCACAGACACGTACTTTTGGCACACGACGACAAAAACATTAGCCATCACTGGAATAGGGTCTCCTGCTTGAGCAGGGGGTTGGACTAGAAGACTTCCAAGGTCCCTTCCATCTCTATTCTGATTGATTAAGAACTGCTGTGATTTACTTCCCAACTGTGGCAAGAAAGGTCATAAAATGAGGGAAAGCTCACTTAACAACTGTCTTGGGACTCAATTGTGGTTGTACACTGAGGACTACCTTTGCCTGCATGAGCAGATAGGGATACCGAGGGATGTCCCTGGAGCTAGATTTGGGAAGGGGGGGGCAGGTGAGGTGTTGTCCTCTTGGTCCTTCTCCACTCACCACTGAAATGGCTCTTGAGGTCCTCCATTTCCCAGACCGAGTAAGCTGAAGATACCTTTCAGTCCAAGAAGACCGTTCTGACCCGTGAGGAGATTGACAAGTTGCGTCTGATTCAGAATCCCGTTCAGGAGACCGCCACCTCCAGGTAAGACTCCACTGGCTGTACCGTTGAGAAGACCTCCGACACCCCCAAGGAGGCCTCCTCCTGCATCCCCACCGAGGACACCACCAAGCACGCCTGTGTCTCCACCTCCAAGGACACCACCAAGGACTCCTCCACTGCTATTGTCTCCACCTCCAAGGACACCACCAGGCAGTCCTCCACCACCAAGGACACCACCAAGGACTCCTCCACCTCCACCAGTATCACCACCACCAAGGACACCACCAAGGACTCCTCCACCTCCACCAGTATCACCACCACCAAGGACACCACCAAGGACTCCTCCACCTCCACCAGTATCACCACCACCAAGGACACCACCAAGGACTCCTCCACCTCCACCAGTATCACACACCACCAAGGGACACCACCAAGGACTCCTCCCTGCCTTTGTTTCCACCTCCAAGGACACCACCAGGCAGTCCTCCACCACCAAGGACACCACCAAGGACTCCTCCACTGCCTTTGTTTCCACCTCCAAGGACACCATCAAGCAGTCCTGTTCCAAACAAGCCTGTGTTGAGAAGAGAATGGTTCCCGTTAGGCTTTCCCCCATCACCAGCTTCAACTCAGTTTCCACGGGGTACTCATCACCAGATTGTGCTCCTACAGCCTAGCACTAATCATCAACCTCTTTTAATGACCCCATAATCCCTTGCGGAGTGGATTCTGGGCAACTGAATGGAGCTAGCAGAGTGTTTACTGGCCAGATGCCCTTCCCGTCACCAATGTGGAGTTACATTCAGCAGATATATATTCTCATTGTGCCCAGAGAGAGAAATATCTGCCTCTACCTAGGATCGAACTCACAGTTTCCTGAGTGTGAGGCAAGAGCTCCACCTCTAGGCTGCCACACCACTCTACAGCCTACTACCAATGCTATTACCTATTTGAGTGTGTACGTATGCATGCATCAGAGGTGGGTTTCAGCAGGTTCTGACCAGTTCTGGAGAACCGGTAGTGGAAATTTTGAGTAGTTCGGAGAACCGTAGTAAAAATTCTGACTGGCCCCGCCCCCATCTATTCTCTGCCTCCCGAGTCCCAGCTGATTGGGAGGAAATGGGGATTTTGCAGTAACCTTCCCCTGCCACGCCCACCAAGCCATGTCACGCCCACCAAGCCCCACCCACAGAACTGGTAGTAAAAAAAATGGAAACCCATCATTGGCATGCATGTAAGCACGCATCTATGTATGTATGTGTGCATGTATTTGTCTGTCTGTTTGTTTTATTATACTGGTATTCCACCCTTTATAATATTTTTTTTACCAACAGCTCAAGATGGCAAACGTATCCAACCTTGCATGTTGCCCATCGCAATATTCCTACATGGTGGGTTGAGCCGAGAGAGATTGATTGGCCCCAAATCAGCCAGCTGGCTAAGGTGGGAATTAGAACTCACCATCTCCTGGTGATTGGCCCAAAGTCACCCAATCAGCTTTCCTATCTAAGGCAGGACTAGAACTCATAGTCTCCTGGTGATTGACCCAAAGTCACCCAGTTAGTTTTCATACCTAAAGCTAGACTAGAACTCACCATCTCCTGTTGATAGGCCCAAAGCCACCCAGTTGACTTTCATGCTTAGGGCAAGACTAGAACTCACTGTCTCCTGGTGATTGGCTCAACATCACCCAGCTGGCTTTCATGTCTAAAACAGGACTAGAACTCACCGTTTCCTGGTGATTGGCTCAAAGTCACCCATCTGGCTTTCATGCCTAAGGCAGGACTAGAACTCTCCATCTCCTGGTGATTGGCCCAATGTCACCAGCTGGCTTTCATGCCTAAAGCGGGACTAGAACTCATAATTTCCACTTTCTAGTCTGGTGTCTTAGCCGTTAGATCAAGGGTCTCCAAACTTGGGAACTTTCCAACTTGTGGACTTCAACTCCCAGCATGGTTGGCTGGGGAATTCTGGGAGTTGAAGTCCACAAGTCTTAAAGTTTAGAAACCACTTGCATTAATGAAACATCGACTGTCTAATGAAACATCAGCATGGCTGTTTGGGGAATTCTGGGAGTTGAAGTCCACACATGCTCAATTTGCTGAGGTTAAGAAACCTATCTAAATTATAACTTTAGTTTTAGATACTGTATTTACAAGCCTTGTGCAGTTTGAAATGTATGCTTTCATGTTTTGGGAGAAATTATTTCTTGCTTAAATATAGTTATAGCTGTAGCCTTAGTTTGTTCGTAAACTTTTTTCTGAAAACACCCAGAGTGGGGGACACGTAGAATCAATATCCTTATCCAGATACACCCATGGATGCAAAGAATCTAGCTAGCATTCCTGCCAGGATGAACCATTGTCCAATTGTGGCTTTACTCTGATGGAATCTGTCCAAAGGAGCAAAATGCCATTTCACGGGATTCCCTGAACATTTAACTTACCCCTTCGAGTCCTTCCAGAGTCTAAACCTTGGAGGCTGCTGAGCCCAAGCGTTGGTCCGAGCAAACAGCAGAAGAGGGCCATGCAGATGGCCTCAGCCATGGTCATGGTGGACATCCTGAAAGAGAAGGAAGAAAAGAATGGGTGGAGATGATCTGGATGGGTTCTCAGCATTGGAAGTCCTTGGGGCGTCTATGGAGATTCACCGTCATCCAAGTCGTGGTTGTCCCAAAGGTGCTTTTTCAAGAGGCAACTGGACTTTCTGGATTTTCTTCAAGATGTTTCGCTTCCTATCCAAGAAGCTTCTTGAGCTCTGACTGGATGGTGGGGAATGGAAGGATTTCTACTGCTTGCAGACAGTTGGTCATTTGCATCCTTTTAGAGGGTCGTTGAGGCCACCTGGAGGTTTATCTGTGTCCTAAGGGTCACCTGAGTAGTGGGTGTGGTGCCTTATTGGAACTGCTGAAAGATCAGTGTTGGAGACTGGAGATAGATGATGTTGTATTCCTCCCCCTCTGTTGAGAGAGGGCTGTTCAATTTTGACACAGATGGCTTCTTTGACCCCTCTTTCAACCCAGCAGTCCTCTCTGTCCAAAATATGGACTTTGCTGTCTTCAAAAGAGTGGCCTTCGTCTTTTAAATGCAGATGGACTGCTGAATCTCATCCTGATGGATTTGTTCTCCTATGTTCTCCTATGTTGTGCCATGGATTTGTGCCAGTGGCTGTTTTGTTTCCCCAATGTACAAATCTGTCTTCAAAGAAAAACCAGAAAGTCCAGTTGCCTCTTGAAAAAGCACCTTTGGGACAACCATGACCTGGTTGACTGAGAATCTCTATAGATGCCTTCCTTTTCTATTTTTCATGCTATCATTCTTTAATTCATAGGATGAAACTTAAAGATCTGAAATCCTTTTAGAGAGTCGTTGAGGCCACCTGGAGGTTTATCTGTCCTCAGGGTCACCTGAGTGGTGCAAATGGGTGCAACTACAACACAGTCCTTTCAGGAGTTCCAAGAAAGCTCCACGCCCATTTGTAGTATTCAGGTGACCCTGAGGATAAACCTACAAGTAGCCTCAATGTCCTTCTAAAAGGATGCAAATGACCAGCTGTCTGCAAGGAGCATAAATCCTTCCATTCCCCTCCATCCAGTCAGAGCTGAAGAAGCTTCTTGGATGAGAAGTGAAACCTCTTCTAAGAAAAACCAGAAATTCCAGTTGCCTCCTGAAAAAAGCACCTTTGGGACAACCATGACCTGGAGGATGGAGAATCTCTACAGACTTTTAGCTATACAATTTGGAATGAACAGCCTTTGAATGGTGTGAGAGCATGAACGGATTTCCAGAAGAAAAAATTGCAGACTACAGGAACCATGTGCACCACTCAGGTGACCCTGAGGACACAGAGAAACCTCCAAGTGGCCTCAACGACCCTCTAAAAGGATGCAAATGACCAGCTAGCTATCTGCAAGGAAGTTAAATCCTTCCCTTCCCCACCATCCAGTCAGAGCAGAAGAAGCTTCTTGGATGAGAAGCGAAACCTCTTCTAAGAAAAACCCTGGTGCGGCGCTGAGCCCGGGGCTGATAAAGAAGGAGCAGAGCAAAATCAAAGTCACCGGTTGGCATCCGTTGACCCGAATGAATGGCTGCCTTTAAGAACTTTTAAGCTGTGGGCTCAACCTCAAAACCATGTCGAAATCAGGAGTCATCCTTTCTGCTCAACTAAGGAGGTTGGAGAGGTTTGGGAAATTGGACGCAGCTGGCTACAGAGATGTTGTACAGTGATGGGTGCTCCATCATTAGAAACCTTCAAAAAGAGGGTGGATTAGCCATTTGTCCAGAATGGTAGAGGGTCTCGTGCTTGAGCAGGGGGTTGGACTAGAAGACCTCCAAGGTCTCTTCCAACTCCATTGTTCTGCTCTGCTCTGTTCTACTCTTCTCCTGTTCTGTTCTAATCGTCAACAAAGATGATGAGGGGACTGGAGGCTGAAACATATGAAGAACGGTTGCAGGTATGTCTAGTTTAATGAAAAGAAGGACTAAGGGGAGACAGGATAGCAGTCTTCCAATATCTCAGGGGCTGCCCCAAAGAAGAGGGAGTCAAGCTATTCTCCAAAGCACCGGAATGAAGAATAAGAAACAATGGGTGGAAACTCATCAAGGAGAGAAGCAACTAAGAACTAAGGAGAAATTTCCTGACAGTAAAAACAATTAATCAATGGAACTACTTGCCTCCAGAAGCTGTGAGTGCTCCAACACTGGAAGTTTTCAAAGAAGATGTTGGATAACCATTTGTCTGAAGTGGTGTAGGGTTCCCTGCCTAAGGAGGGGGTTGGACTAGAAGACCTCCAAGGTCCCTTCCAACTCTGTTATTCTATTCTATTCTATTCTATTCTATTCTATTCTATTCTATTCTATTCTATTCTATTCTATTCTATTCTATTCTATTCTATTCTATTCTTATTTATTTATTTTATTTGTCAAGCATGTATTAGATAACAGATATAAGTATAAACATAATTTGAATACATGAAAAGAGTAAGTAAAAAGGAATAGTAGGACATGGATGATAGGCACGCTGGTGTGCTTATGCATGGCCCTTACAGACCTCTTAGGAATGGGGTGAGATCAACAGTAGACAGTCTAAGGTTAAAGTTTTGGGGCTTTGGGGATGAAACCACAGAGTCAGGTAGTGCATTCCAGGCGTTGACAACTATTCTGTTCTGTTCTGTTCTGTTCTGTTCTGTTGGCAGGAGAATAAGTAATGGGTGGAAGCTCATTAAAAGGCAGATCCAATCTGGAAATAAGGAGGAATTTCCTGATTATGAATTGGTGGAATAACTTGCCAGCCAGAATTGTGGGTGCTCCATCGCTGGAGTTTTTCAAAAACAGACTGGGGAACCATTTGTCCAGGATGGTAGAGATGGGCAAGGGGTTGGACTACAAGACCTCCAAAGTCCCTTCCAATCCAGTTGTTCTATGATTGATATTCTGTGCTGGTGGACCAGTAAGTGAGAATTGAAACTCTCTTCTTCTAACTGTCCGTTGAAAGTTATTCTGTTATTCTCTAAGTGGGACTGATGTTCTCTCTTTTGAACTGCTAGCAGATCTTTTTCTGTGTCCCCCCTCCACACACTACCTCCAAAGGCCCCCAGGATTAGAGGCTACCTCCGACTGTATGCTCAGTTTTCTAATAGCTCATTAGCAACAGGAGTAAATGTTGCATAATAATCAGAAAGAAAGAAAAAAGAAAGTTATTCTGTTATTCTCTAATTCCATTATTCTATTATAATTGTCTCAACAGTAAGGGCAGATACTACCTGATTAACCTCAATTAGTTAACTACCTGCTGAAATTTCCCTAAAGGGAAGGGCCAAAAGGGAGCATTTTCTTGGGAGGCCCTCCCCTACCAAAAGATAAAGACACACACACAAGGCAAGATCCATTGGCCATTGTCTTTTCCCAGAATTTTCTTTCAGTTTCCCAGTTTTAGCCTGCAGCCCTGGGATCTCCTGGTGGTCTTCTTTCTAAGTCCTAAGCAGGTTCAGTCCTGCTTAGCTTCCCAAGATCAGGCAGTCCAGCTAATTGTAGCTGGTGCAGAATATTTAATATTTCCTCTCATTTTCGTCAGGGTCTCCAGCAGGTTAATTAAAGGCCCTTTAAAGAAGGAGAGGAAGATAATTTCCTTGAGACGTTTCGATGCCCCACTGTTCAATTTAAACCAACTGTCTTTTTTCTCCCCTCCCATCAACGGAGAACATTTGTAATCCTTTCGGTTATTAATTCACGAACGCCTTTCGAATTAATGTGTCACATTTACTCAGAATTTCAGTTCAGGCAGGACGTTTCATCAACGCTTCACAGTTGCATCCCCTCCATCTGCCTTTGTAAGTCTGGAGATGATTAAACTGGGCTTGTTCCTTGCTGGCTCTGATTTTTATGCAAAATTAGCTGCTTTGAGGAGAAAGATCGATTCAGTCACAACCCCCTGTGTGAATTGCATGGACGTGACCCACGAATCAAAAATCCATTTGTCCTTATGAAAAGCTTACAGCCTTAATTGATTTATGGATCCTTATCCACACAACCTTTGATTTGATTGAGATGGTTGACGCCTTCCAGTGGGCTTGTCTCTGGGGTCTCTGAAAGGGGGGGAAGAAACCACAGGTACCCCTGAGCTGAGCCCCTTTTAGAATGGGCTGAAAGATGGACTTTTTTTTTAAAAAAATTTGATTTATATGCCGCCCTTCTCCGGAGACTCAGGGGGGGCTTACAATGCGCTAAGCAATAGCCTTCATACTTTTGTATATATTTATACAAAGTCAGCTTATTGCCCCCACAAACTGGGTCCTCATTTTACCTACCTTAGAAAGGATGGAAGGCTGAGTCGACCTTGAGCCTGGTGAGATTTGAACTTGCAGTAATTGCAGGCAGCTGAATGATAATAACAGGCTATTAGTCTGCTGCGCCACCAGACTTGGCCATCGAAGATGATTAGGGGACTTCTTTCCCTTTCCAAAGTTGCGCATATGCGATTCTAGCCGCAGTGGTAATATGTATGAAAAGGTACCAGTCTATTTTCCTTACGCCCCCAGGGTTTATTCCTAATAAGTAGATCTCTGGTCTCAATTGAAAGCTGACTCCTGTAATCTCCATGAGCCAATCTTTTATCTTGCTCCAACAGTTTTGGGCTTGTAGACATGTCCACCATTGGTGGTAAAATGTACCCTGATTGTACCATCGGATCAGATGATTATTAACAAAATTTTGTGGTGTGCAGAATGCGATAGATTAACATATATTCTTAAAGATAGACAAGAATCAACTTTCAATCAAAGCTGGGATAAATGGTACCAATGGATAGAAGTAAAAATGTCATGAGATAGATGTTAGGAAAGCATCTGGCATAGATATGTAAATAGCAAACTAAATATAAATAAGGTAATATTAGATATAAGAAGATATAAGAAGATTAACAAGTGCAAGATGCAGTATGATAAACCTAATCGAATCTGTAGTATGATGATATGTAATGTTATTTAGAAACTGTATATATATATATGTGTGTGATTTTGTCTTGTTATAGTCTTTTTCTGTGTTTTTTTTTTAATTTATAATAAA